ATAATAGAAGAAACGGATGATGGTGAGCAAAATGAAAACGGTCCCTTATCAAACCTATCCACTCCCCATCCAGTAGGTGTCGGATGATTTGGGTCATATGATTCGGCTTGCGCACTTTGGGAGCTGTTTTGAGCAGAGAGATGCCCGTTGTGTTCATCAATCAGTTAGATGAAATCGTGATAGAAAGAATTGGCGAAATAGTAATAATGAAATCGCGTAATATTATGTATTCATAATAAATAGGCTACTTGTCTTGTTAACAACAAATATACTTCAGCCTGCAGTAACTCATTCACGGACGCGCGAGTCGAGACTGACACACTGTTTCGTTGGGCACACATATAACATCCAGTGGCCCCAACCGATTTGTGCACGTCTTATCGATTTTCGACATCTCCAGATGGAGATTAATGAGTATTTGAAGAAATCATTTTTCATTTCCTCTTTTATCATAAACATAATTGTGCAATCAATTTCCATTTCGGATTTATTTCACGGAGTGAACCTAAAAGCATCGGCTGATATTACGAATTGCCTACCCCGGTGTCATGCACGTAAACAGACAATAGGCTGATCGATTTTAAAGACTTTACTCGGTCCACATACGAATCTGACAAGCTGATCACCTGTGTTTAATAAACTTGTTCAGATCGTTTTGTCCAGATCAGGATTTGTTTTCTGCCCCCACGAAAATCGGTTCCCCCCCCCCCATCCCCCGGATCGATATGCATAACTTCTGTATTGTCTACCTTTCAATGGTACGCCTGTTACGGGATAGAAGGGGTACACGGATTTATGTGATGGTTTTAGACATTTTATGCGATTGACCAGTACATTTAAACAGGTAGTTGGCTCGAGACTCGAGTGAAAAGTGCTAGAAATATGTTTACGAAAGTTATGCCTAATACGACCAAGATTCTTTTTCTGAAAATCCGGTTCAATTTCAGCGATTTTGTGGTCCCTATCATAGTCCAAGTTAATCTTCCCCCTATCCTCTCTTTTCGGAACGCTTTCCTTTAATCGCTTTTTCCTCGCATTCTTAACGCCTGTTTTTTTTTTTAAAAAAACAAATAGTTCCGCTATTTTAACCTTATCTTTAGTGCGATAACCACCTTGACGCAGATAAGTGTGCCCTTTAGAATGCAAATTCCGCCCCGTCCTCGATCTTTCTCCTACCTATCTGATCCTGTTTGGCTACTCTCTTGGTTGGGTGGTCGTGCTATAAGATATCGCAGTCATTCACACACACGCACAAACACACATCAGCACCAGGCCCCATTTCCAAACACTTTAACTTTGTTTGTCTAATGCGGTTGCTGTTCCCACACATTCACACACGCAGTCAATCACGTACATTTAAACGGCTCGTGGTGTTGATCTGACGCTGGCACTGATAGGATGGGGGAGGGGGTCAGGCTGTTTGATGTGCGCAGCAAAACGAACACAGACGATTCACCCAGACCCCGACCGCATGGCAAGATATCACAGCGCACATTGCACACACCTATTTGTTTCTACAGTAGTTCGCGGACCTACTGCTCTCGCTTATCATGGTCAAAAGGTGATCCAGGACCGAGTCAAACTTTTGTATTTCTCCCCTGATGCATTCTCCTCGCTTGTCCGGCAAACTCGGAAATCGCCACTGGCGGTGGATTTTGGCTTCCGGGTCACATTTCAGGGTCCCGGGGCCAAAATGTTATCTAGTTCTGCTTCGCTTGACTTGTTGGCCCACCACCATCAAAAAGAACAACAACAACAGCTGCGACAGAATTCAAGTTCTAGCGCTTTGTTTCGATCGGCTTTGATTGTTGCTAATCCCGTACAAGAGTGACCCAGTTCTGGTTTCCATGACAATCTCTACGTGTGCTAGAAACTTGAAATTCATCAAAATGTATGATTTTGGATGACGTATGTGAAGAGGCGGATAAACGCCTATAGGGCGCGACACTTTATCATGTGGCTAAACGTCTCGAACTCTAGTACTTTAGACAGGATGCCAACACTGTACAAATAAAATGGAGAAATTTTCTGTTAAACCAGTACATTTAAATAGGTTGTGGTAGTCTTGTGTTCGGCTCAAGGCTCGACTGAAAAGTGCTAGGAATGTGTTAAAAAAAGTTACAAAGCCGGCCGAAGTGTAATGCGTGTTTCTATCGGGCTGTTGTGCTACTCGGTCATTTGGTAACAGTTGAGTGGTTTTCATCTCGGGATTTCGGTTATGCTGTATGTCGACTCGGTTGTCGTGCTTTCCCGCTATTCCCGCTTCATTTAATACGGTCCGCATTCAGTTCAAAGGTACTTGCGAATCGTGATGTATGGTAAATTATATTGCTTTGAACTGTTCACCCTTCACCCCCACACACAATCCTCAGTTAATCCAACTAATCCCTATTTTGAGAACCACTAGGGTTGAGTTTCTTTCTTCTGAGGGCTCATCATTAGTACAACTCCACCGTCTTGTCCGGTGCTCGAATCCCAGATCTATCCCTTCTTATGGTAACAGACAATCGTTGGGATAGACAGCCTTACTGTCACCCGGCTCACTGTCACGCTCAGTCTATTGAGGCCTTTTGTGGTCTGCCACTCCAAGTCTCAGGGTTGGATTGCCGATCTAAACAATGCAACTCACATAAATCACAAAATGTGCACTCTACTTACAAAATCACAACGCTATATTGTCCTCAATAATATCGTAGTTTAAATGGAAATGTTAATGCTGCACACTAATTTCTTAAATATTCTTCCCCGTTTGGCCTTATTTTTCCCCGAGACAAATCTCTCCGTCATCAGACACTACCCATCTTCAGTTCCCTAATCACTTCTTCCATTCTTCTTTTCCTCTTAAAGCTGATCTGGGCTTATGCCCGTCATTCTATCACTTCTTCCTTACTTTCGCATCATCGTTTCCGCAACCGTGGAGTTCAGCCTACGTATTTTACGGTTTACCGCTCCTCGAGCAGCAGCGATCCTTCTATTTTTGATATTCTCTCTTCGAACATTGAGAAATTAATGGTGGCAAATCCTAACAGCCAAATTACCATCGTCGGTGAATACAATGTCCACAGCAGACACTTCATTCATGGGACGCGAAGCTGAGGCTTTTACTGTGGTCAACAATGTGAGTCAACTAGTCGACCTCTCGGATCGTATTGCTGACCTCACCCACACATTCTCACATCAATTCCCTCTT